AATAAATATTCTTGGACAATTACAAGAAACTCCTCTTCCAATACTTTTTAAAATGTATTTTTGTTCTTAATTGACACATATTAATTATACATATTTAAGAGGTGTAGTCTTCTCAAACTTTTCAGTAACATCACTATGGAAGGTAAACTGTTAAAAAAGAAACCTTTGCATGCTAGTCAAGTTGACTGACAGTGGCTGAAAATGTTTCTCTCTCTGTGTATCTCTCAGATGCACAAAGCATGCTTTTTCATGTGACAACTTCACTGTACTCATCCATGTACTCACAATATCATCTCAAACTTTTTTCTAGCCCTTGCTTTGAAAGCTAAATGGGGGGAAGGGACAGTGAATCAAAACAGGTGATCATTGTGCATGATGAGAAATTCCAACTCAAGAGCCAACATACCGATAACTCTGCCAACAGGGAAATGTGACTTTAAGAAGAGGTATTACTTCTCTGGGTGGTCCATCCTCTTTTAGAAAATAGATACTTCTGGCAGCACCCTTATTTAGTTGTTTTCAACTATTAATAATTTGTGTGTCTTGGCATTCCATACTTCTCTCTTTGATGCTAAGATAGAACCATGAAGGAGGGCCTTTTGATTGAGATGTGGCAGAGACTAGCAGGGAAGGAGGAAGGGCTGGCTCTTACAAATCACTGCCTACAACTCTGCTAAGTTAATTAGCTGGCTAACTGTAGCTCTGCAGCTGCTTCACACCTCAAATGCTTAGTGGTTCTACTCAAAAAATGTGTCTAAAGCAACTCATTCAAGGACCTTTCTCCAAATGACTCCTTAGAACACTAGTTATCATAGATGATGATATTTTGAAGACAGCCTTTCCCCCAATAAATTCGGGAAATGATAGTTTAATCAAAGTTAAACAGGTTTCTTTGTTATAATATTTCTTAGGACTTTCTATATGAATTTTAAGGGACTTTATAAGAAATAGTTTCCAAGATTCTATGATCACAAACTCATCCTTTAAAAAGAACCGCCAGGATGAGTGTTCTACAGAAGGAAGACATTATTCTATGAGCCTTAATAACCAGAGCCTGTAATACCTCAAAGACCAGACAATGTGAAAATAAAAAAGGGCAAATCTGGCTTGAGGTTTCCTATTCCTACAGCCAATATTGCTACTTCCTTACCTCACTTTGTGAATTAGACCATTGTCTATTATTATAACAAAACATCTGAGGCTGGATATGTTATAAAGGAAAGAGGTTTATTTGGCTCACAGTTTTGGAGGTTGAAAGTCCAAATAGCATGGCCCTGGCCCTGGTGAGGGCTGCCTTGACTGCATCACATCATGGTGGATGGCATCACAGTGGTAGCATGTGTGAAAGGGAAAGATTACATAGCAAGACAAGAAGCCAAAATTGAAAAAAACAAAACAAAACAAAACAAAAAGACAAGAAGCCAGAGAGCAGAGTGAGTCAAGGCTCATTCTTCTGTAACAGCCTGCTCACATGACCCTAACTGGGGTCCCATCAGAATTACTTAATCCCTTCCAAGAGTGATGCCCCCAATGACCCAACCACTGTACTTTAGGCTCCATAGCTTAAAGGTCTCACCACCTCTTTTTTTTTTTTTTTTAGCATGACTGGGATTTGAACTCAGGGCTTCAATGCTTGCAAAGCAGGTGCTCTAATGCTTAAACCATAACTCCAGTCCATTTTGCTCTGGTCATTTTAAAGATGGGGGTCTCATGAACAATTTTCCCAGGCTGGCCCCAAACCAGGATCCTCTGGACCTCAGCTTCCTAAGTAGCTAGGAGTACAAGTGTGAGCTACGAGTGCCCAGCCTCACCACCTCTTAATACTGCCATACTGGGGACCAAGCGTCCAACCCATGAACACAAATCACATCCAAACTACACCACTTTATATTACTTTAAATGCTTTTTATGAGAAAAGTTCAAAATTTATATTCTTACATTTAATGTTCTCCATATGTCGAGCCCTTCCAGTAGACTTATCCTTAATGATACTGCATTAATATTACTCTAAGTGTCTCCTACTATTATTAAAAGGGATGATTGCTAGTTTTCCCCAACATCCACAATGCCAAGTTCACCTTCACTACCTTCTAGGCACTTGGTGGCCCAGTCTGTGTGGCTGTAACTGGGTTCTCCCCAGTGAATCAAGAGTCCACGTGATCTGTACCACTGGCCCCATCTGCGTGGTTTAGACCTGTTTCCCTTTGCATTGAGCTGACACACAGTGTGCCTGCAACCCAGTTTTGTGTACAATTGATGAAAATGGCAGAAAACAAAGAGAAGTTTCCTGAATGATGGATTTGATGAGGCCACTGTAATTCTGTCTTTAATACAGAAACTGAATGTTTTTTTCTCACTAAAACATAGTGTTAATGCTAAAAACGTTAACATTTGAAGGTTGTATTACAGTTTACAGTACACTCACATATACATTATTTTTCTAAACTTTTGTTATTATTATTATTTTTTGAGGCAGACTCTCCCTGGATACCCCAGGCTGGCCTTGAACTCTTGCTCCTCCTCCCAAGTGCTGGGATTACAGGCACGAAACACCAGCCTGGCTGATTTTGTTCCTCTTATGTTATACAAGTGGGAGGGAGGGGGTGGAGTGGGTGGTAAGGGAGGGGGTGGGGGCAGGGGGGAGAAATGACCCAAGCCTTGTATGCACATATGAATAATAAAAAAAAATGTTATGTAAGTGGTCATTATCTACTAGAATATGTTAATTGAAACACTGAAAACTAAGGCTAATTGTGATAATTATCAGCTCACTATTTTATTGTTTATTTGTTTATGCTTTCAAGCAACCCTATGATCAGTCTAAAGTAGTTTCTTTTGTTAATGTCTAATTACCAATAAACCTCCAAATACAATATTTCCCACAAATTTTTCAAGGTATGATTATGAGTAATGATAAAAATATATTTCAAGTGCTTTGCTATAAAATAAAATGTGCAAAGATATCTATGATCCAAAATAAATTTCTGGAAGATGCAGAATGATTTAACAGTAATCATTTTAAATGCAATTTTATGGTGAAGCATTCTGCTAAATGATAGAAAGGCAAGTATTTGGAAGTAGCTACTGAAATATGTATGCATTTATGAATATATCTTTGGTAAAGAGCCAAACAAAATAAAGTATGACTCACTGTCAGTAAACATTCCCTCAATGTCCTTGTGTTATTATGGGAGTTACTGTGTGACTTTAATAATGTATACAAGATGAATTACTATTTATATTCTTCTTAAAGGCATTACAAACAATCATCTATTAGCAGAAAGATCTCTAAAGTCTAACAAATTAATTATCTTTAACTTTCTTGTCAATAAATTGAAGGGTTACTTTTAAGCAAATAATTCAACACAGTAGGAAGAAACATGTTTCTTGTAGCAATTCCCAGAAGTTACTAGCAGTTTAAGGCATAAAAAACATGTATTTATTCTGCTATTCACTTTAGACAGTACAGTAAGAGTTGTTAGTAAATGCTTTTTTTCTGACCTTGGAATATATCACAGTTCATCCCTGACAGATCACAAGTAAAAGAATGTGTGATCAACCTTAAGAGTGGTAAAACTGGAAATCTTAGATATCATACAGATGAGGAAAGACAAGTTTGAAAAACTATTTCAATTAAACGAGGCTTATTGAAAAGGAAAAAAAATCATGGAATTCTAAGTATTGTATAAATCAAATCACTAGCCTTTGACATTTCTCTGAAGGCTGCTTTGCCATCTTTCCACTTCATACATGAGAAAAGTAATGTATAAGCAAGCTAAGCAGTTCCCTCATTATGTCCATGAATCAGTGTCATAGCTGGAAAGGGAAGCCAAAACTTTGAGTGTTGGACATTCTCACAGATGTAGGCTGATCTCATTCGGCACGGATACTGGCTGGGGGGGTGAGGGGAAGCCATGTTTGGGAAGTGAGTACTCTATTTCACAAGCAGAGAACTTGCTGAAGAATGGAAAATGCTTGCTTACGTGAGCAATGGATGTGATAATGCTACCTTAAGCAAACAAAACCCTACAATATATCAGCTTCCTTATCTTCCTCTAAAACAAAGTGTCCTTGAATTCTAGAAACTGAAAGCGTGCTTTAAATTTGATTGAATCTCAAATATCCGGGAAATTCAATCTCGAATATTCAGGAAATTCATACAATGTTTCTTTTTATTTTCACCAGTTGCCTTTGTGAAATCCTTCAGGTTACCAAGTGAACATTCGGAATGAGATTACTTACTTGGGCCTCTCTCTATTTAGAAATGTATTTTCTGTTCTATTAAGAACCGATCGTAAGTGAAATAAAGGGAAAGGCTCCTGGCAAATCTCAATGTCTATGCCTTCCCTTCCAAAGCCCCAATGGTGTCGAACTTCTAAAAGGCAGCTCAGCCCTTTAAACGCACATGCACACACAGAACCTCGGCTGGGTCAGTGTCCCTCGTGTTGCATTTAGGTGTCCTACCAGATCCACTCCCAGGGGTCATGGCCCAGTGTTTCCTGAGGACCACATCTGGTGCTGTGACCTGCCCCGACCACAACCGCATCCCTGCCTCTGTGCTCGGTGCCCAGTGAGCTTTTATGCAGCAAGCGGGCTGGAGCACTGCATCCTCGAAACGTCAACCCCGAAGCTCCGAGCCCTACTTCGCAGAGAGGTGGGGCCGCCCGCCTAGGGCTGGAAAGGGGGGTGCTCGGAAGAAAGGTGGGTGCACAGCCAGGGATGCCGAGTTGGGGGAGGAAGACGGCGGTGGAGAAGGGGATCCAAATACCAGCAGGGGCAGAAAGAGTTGGGGGACCAGCCAGGGCGACCCCGGGACGCAGGAAATGGGCGCCAAAGAAAGAAGTGAGAAATTGCGGAGGAGGAAGTCGTCCCTGGAAGAGGAGGGGCAAAGGGGAAGCGAGAATGGAGCGTCCGCACTTTGGAGAGGGGAGGGCCCGAGCCGCTCCGACCCGGGCGGGTGGGGACAGGGCGTCCCCAGGTCCCCGCGCAGGTGGCCCTACCTGAACCGTTCCTGCCCCGCCGTGTCCCAGAGCTGCAGCTTGATCCTCTTGCCCGGCTCGATCTCCAGCAGGCGGGAGAAGAAGTCCACGCCGACCGTGGGATCGCAGGCGGGGGAGCGCAGCCCCGGGAAGCTGCCCTGCGTGAAGCGGTGCAGGAGGCACGACTTGCCCACGGTGGAGTCCCCGATCACGATGAGGCGGAACTGGTAGATCCAGATGGTCTCCATCGCTCACGTGCCCCGCCGGCTCCCGGGCCGCCCCACCCGCCCTCTCTGGGGCAAGTTGGGCGGCGGGAACTGTCCGTTCAGCACCTCTCAGGCGCCTGCCCGCCGGCTTCCAGCATTTTCCTGAGCCTGCAGCCGCCGCCTGGTCCCCGCCCTCTCGGCAAGGAGAGGCGGGGCCTTGAGGGGCGGGGCCTCGACCTGGGAGGGCGGGGCAGGGGCCGCGGTGCGGAGACCGGGAAACTGGCTGTTGGCACGCGAAGTCCCGCCCCTAATAGCTGTAAATCACTGCACCTCAACGCTGACTGGACACCGACGGGGAAGTGGGTGCGGCTAAGGGACGTGACAGCCGAATTGACCAATGAAAATGAGGGAAGGGCTCGCCTCCGGAAGGGTCAGCCAATGAAAAGTGAGAGTCATTCTTCTACAAGCGTCTGGGCGGGTTTGTCAGATCAGGATTCTGATTTTGTAGGTCTCAGAGGCTGTAACTTGCTTGTGCTGTTGCTTCATCTTTGATTCGTTGGTTACATCCCTTTTTTTCAGAAGATCCCTGTTGGCTACTTCCTGCTACCTTAGCCTTGCTGAGCGCCATCTTCTGGGTGTTCTAAGGTGAACTTGAGAACAGGATCGAAATGTGCAGAATTAGCTCTGAAGGCTGCTAGGAAAGACCGCCTACTGCTGTTTGTCACCACCGTCCCTTCTTTCATGCTTTCACTGTCACAGAGGATCCTTTAGGTCATCCAGCCTGGGGCTAAGGGAAGAAAGAAAAAAAAAGGTGAGATGTTGAAATGACATAAAATTTCTCACTCTTCTCCGTCCGTCTACAATCAGGAAAAACCTACGGGTGGTCTCTTAGCTTGTGTCTGGGCAACAATTTAAATAAACAAAGCAGAAATTGAATTCTGGTGAGAACTTAACTATTTTCTCATCTCTTTCTTCAAATAATAGCGAATCCAAGTTTTATCTTTTACACATCAAATCAAAATTAGATTTGTGTGTGTGTGTGTGGTACCGGAGTTTGAACTCATGGCCTGGCACTTGCTAAGCGGTTGCTCTACCACTCGAGCCACATCCCCGGCCCAAAGTCAAGTAGTTTTAAAGTGTGTTTACCAAAAACAAACTTTTCAACAATTCCACTTTTTTCTTGCACACATCCATTTTTCCCTTATTGTTATCCATTCTTACTTACTTCCTGTTTTGGAGGAAGAGGTATCAATTTTAAGAGTTTAATCCCTCGCCATTTATCTTTTGGAGGCTTACCCTAAACTGTTGACTTTTATTTAATGTCATTTATACCTGAAACCTTCCCTTCTCCAACTGTTTCTACTCCCAGCCTATAAACCTGCTCAAGTATCCACAATCCTAAAGCTAAGAGAAACAGCATCACATTAGGCCTCCCCTTCAGGCTTTGCCTCCTCCATCATTGACCTTTTCACATATCAAAAAGAACAGTCTTTTCCCATTTCTCACCTATGAGTTGGTACTCAACAAGCCTGGTATACCCCATTAAACTCTCCATCCTAACATACCCCTGAAACAATTACTTTGGTAGAGGTGCCAAGCACCTCCTAATTATCAAATCCACCCCCCACCTCCACTATCCTCACTCCTCACCCTACTGTCATCTGTCTCTGATTATCACTCCCCTGCACCACCTAGCACCTCTCCAGTTAGGGATAGCCAGGTGACAGAATTCTGACCACTGAGACATAAGGCAAAAAGGATTTGTCGTAAATCTTTTTCTTCCTGTAAGGGCATGACATCTTCACTGTCTTTCATCCTTCTTTCTTTTTTCTTCCTACCTGGCATATGTTACAACCATCTTGTGACTATGAAGGTGAAGACCTACATGCTAGGGATGGAGGTCAGAGAGTGAGAAAAAGATTGGTTCCCGATGGCTTTGCTTATCTGTTGTACCAATTTTAGACAAATAAATCAATACATGTGTAAGCTATTGGTAGTTGAAGATTCTATAGTACAACCTGGATTTTTATTTCTTAGATTCTATAAAGCATTCTCTTCTGGGTTTCTCTTCTTCTTTTTTTGGTGGTACTGGGGTTTGAACTCAGGCCCTCACACTTGCTAGGCAGGCACTCTACCACTTAAGCCACTCTGCCAACGAAGTTTGTCTTTTTAACCTTCTTAAATACTTCTGTGAGCCTTTCTTAAATACTAAAGGTTCAAAGAGATCCATCCTTTATCTCTTCCCCTCCTCCCTTATTTTTCCCTTCATCTCTTTGGGCCTTTTCTGGCAACCTCATCTACTCTAGTGACTTCAGTTATACCCTTACCAAATCTCTCTTTGTCCTCCTCTAACCTCTGTTCCATATTCAACAACTGCATTTCCAACTACTCTTTCCTTAGATGTTGGATGCTCTTTTTAGACTCAACACATCTGTGATGATTAGGATTGTTTAAGACAAACTCCAGTGAGGGTGATATAAAAACATGAGTGCACTTATCCTAAGGATACAGAGATGTTTTTACAGGATCACAGACATAAGTGCTGCTGGCAGAGGGAAGGTATTAAGACTGGCAGAGAGGAATCTGTAAGAAACCCAGGCCATCCTCTGTCTCTCTCATCTCTGTTTTCTCCTAACTTCTGCTTAATTCCTGTCTCTCTGCAAACTAACTTTCTCTACTGCTTAGTCTATGGAAGACTATAGTTGCTGCAGCTTTCTTGTTAGATATCTAGACATGTGCAGTGATTGATTTCTGTTTCTCTGTAGAGGTAATTTAGTCAGCTTGGTTTGGAATAAGTGGACATACTTGCTATAGATTGGATCTTCAGTGTCCCCCAAAGGCTCATATGTTAAAAGATTGGTCCCCAGCTTGGCACTATTGGCAGGTGGTGGAAGCATGCCTTTGAAAGGGACTGTGGGCCAGGCATGGTGGCAATATGTCTGTAATCTCAGTCTTGGGAAGCAGGAGGTTTATGAGTTCTGGGCCAGCCTGAGTTTTGGAGTGGGAGGAGATTGTGGGACCCAGGTCCCTTCCTCTCTCTCTCTTTCACTTCTGAGCCATGAGGTGAGCAGTTGTGCACAGTCACACACTCTTGCCATGATATATTGCCATAAGCCCAAAGCAATGGAGCCAAGTAATCATAATGGAAACCTCTAAAACTGTGAGCCAAGATAGACCTTCTCTCTTTATAAATTGATTGTCTCAGGTAGTTGTTATAGTGATGGAAAACTGACTAACACAATACCAAAGAGATATGCCTACTAGGACAGGAGCATGTGCTGGGCCAATCTGTTTTCTGATGGAATATATGAAGTATTTGCAGTCCTTGACAAAGGGGTGGGGGGATAAATGACTTCCTTTTGTGTCAAAAAAATATTCTGTGTGATGTCCAAAGGTGAACTCAGGAGCATTCTTCCTGTGTTTTCTTTTCCTGTATTTTACAGGCTAGCTTTAGTATCTATATTAGCTGTCTAGGCAAGTGAGAGCCAAATCTGGGCTGGAAGCTGGAGGTTTGCTCTGTATATAGCAGAGAGATAAAATTGGCCTAAAGGCAGCAGAGTGCAAGGCTAAGGATAATCTCATAGGTAGTAGTATCTGAGACAAAACTAAAATAGAAAGGAAGGTAGGAAAGTAAATTGAGGCCCATCTTCAACTTCAGGAGCAGCATATAGTCATATACTAACAGAATGGAAAGAGGGGATTCCTGGCCCAAAGAAAGGTTTAAATGAGAGGTCTCAGGCATAGTTTGGATAGATAACACTAGCCAAGGGAAAAGGGTTTTTATAAGGTTCTTAGCTTCAGGAGAAATTATAATATAGGAACTGGTAAGATAGTTTAAACATTGCATTTAATTGATTAAGTAGAACAAGGTATCCATCTTGGACACCTTGTTTAGTGTATTGACTCCATCACTGAGCCTCCTCTCTCCCTCCCTCCCTCCCTTCCTTTCTTCTTTCCTTCCTCCCTCTCTTCTTTCTTCTCTCTTGTCTTTTTTTAGATGGGATCTTGCTATTTTGCTTAGGCTGTCCTTGACCTTCTGAGCTACAGTGATCTTCCCATCTCAGCCTCCCGAGTATCTGGGACTATAGGAGCACACCACTGTGCCCAGCAGCCTTATTTCTTTTACCTCATTAATATCTTTCACTTATATGACTTTTTGTTCACTCTCATCACTGTAGACTACACTGGTCAATAGCCTCCATATTTGTTTCCTTAGGCTGCTGTAACAAAGTATGAAACAAAGGCACTGTGTTACTTAGCTTTTCATTGTTGTGACAGAATACCTGAGGAAGGTATTTTGGGAGGGATAAAATATTTATTTTGCTAATGGTTTCAGACCATGTTTGGCTGGCTCCGTTGTTTTTAGGCCTGTGTGTGGCAGAACATCATGGTGGAGAGGGTATAGTGGAGTGGGGCTGATCACCTGTGGCCAGGAAACAAAGAGAATGTGGAAATAGCCAGGGACAAGATACAGCCCTAAGAACATCCCTAGTAACCTACTTCCTCCAACTAGGCTCCATCTCTTAGCATTTCCACTACCTCCTATAAATGCCATCAAATTATGAACCCATCAATAGATGAATCCATTAGGATTAGCTCACAGGTCTCATGACACAATCACCCACCATTGTATGGATCCACCAGCACATGAGCCTTTTCATATCCAAGCCATAATACGTACAATGCAGCCTAAAATAACAGAAATTTACTGTCTTACAGTTCCAGAGGCTATTAACCCCAAATGTGTCCGTAGCATTGGTTCCTTCTGAGGCCTGTGGGAGAAATTCTATACTTCTCACCTAGACTCTAGTGGTTTGCTGGCAATCTCTCTCTCTCTTTTTATAATACTGGGGCTTGAACTCAGGGCCTTCACCTTGAGCCACTCCACCAGCCCTATTTTTATGAAGGGTTTTTCAAGATAGGGTCTCACAGAACTATTTGCCTGGTCTGGCTTTGATCTGAGATCCTCCTGATCTCTGCCTCCTGAGTAGATAGGATTACAGGTGTGAGCCACTGACACCCACCAGCAATCTCATATTTATTTACTTAGGCAGTAGTAGAGTTTGAACTTGGGGCCTCATACTTGCTAAGAAGTGCTCTACCACTTGAGTCATG